ACCCAAAGCAAGAGGGGTTCCTTCTCCCCAGTCGGTCCCAAACAAGAGCGGGGCTGCTCCTGATTCCACAAGGCACGGTTGAAGAGAGTCAGTAACGCGGCTTTTACAGATACCGTCAGCTTGTTCCTGTCGGTCTGTGTATAATCAGCTGTTGCAGCTCCTTCACCGCCCTGCCTTCCAGACAGACAGCCGCTGCCGCCTGCTCATCGCAGCATCTGCCCCACCGGCACGGCCCCCGCTCCCTCCCTGGAAAAAGGCTTCTCAGGCAAACTAACATTCTGTGCAGAAAGGACTACGGGGGTCCTTTTGAGGAACCTACAGGACCTCTAGGATTGTCTCTGTCCCCGTGTCCCCCGCCTGCCAGATTTCGGGGGAACATGGCATATAAAAGGCTGCATGGTCCTCTGACCCAGAAATAGTTGAATAATAAACCTCCAGTATTGTTGGTAACTTTGTTTTCATTCTTGGGAATTCTTTCACAGTAGTAAAACACCAAACAAGAAGCCACTTGTATGTGTGTGGGCGGGTGTGTGTGTGTGTGTGACTGAGGGGCATTGATCTAATTTCTGGTAGGTTGGTGGTGTGTTTTTTGTTTCATTTTCTTCCCCACTTTCGTGTCCCTGTCCTCGATCCGTGTCTCCCATAATCCGTTTGCGGGGCATTTTCCTGATTGAGACAGGTATTTTAGAGACAGCCTCTGACACCTCCCTCCGGTTTTCTAGGTGGCAAAGTCCAATTTGCAAGCAGATGAATTAAATTCTTCTCTGGAGCAACTCGAAAGCAAGATAGAAACCTGCCGCCACTCGAGAGAGAGAGATGTAAGTGCTCAGCTGATGCCAGCTGGGAGTATAGCAAGGATGCCTCCTGCTGGGACCTCCACCCTGAGTCTCAGCTGACATTTGTGGTTTGGACTGTGTCCCAGAAGTCTCCAGCTCCAAGGAGCCCTGGAAGACTTCCCTGGAGTTCTGGAAGAAAAGAGAAATCTCCCACCTCAAACTCCCCCACCCCCTTCCATAGCCAAGCAGGTGGAACCCAGTGAGTGTGGGGGCTCCAGGGTGGCTTCCTCGTCCCTCTCCCTCCCACCCCCATGCGTCCAGGCATCCCTGGCTGTAGGCAGAACTCGGCTCTGCCGTCTGTCCCACTGCACACCTGCCTTCTCTCCGGTTCCTCACCTGAGCCTTCAGGTCTTAGCACACGAGCTGATCGCGCCTATTCTTTGTACCTAAACTGTGAGAAGTCCGAACGGAACAGAGTTTGAGGGTAGGACGGTTCTTGGGAAGTTCCCACCGGGCCCCTGACAGCCCCGAGGGCTCTGTGGTTCACTTCTGACCCCCACCCCAGCCACCCTGAGTGTGGCTTCCTCCGCCTCTCAGCCTCTCATTCCGGCACTCTAAGAGCCAGGGCCCCAGCCCGACATGCATCCTCTTCCGTCTCAGTGATGCTGACTTGTGACCCTGTTGTCATTACAAACTGCCTGGGACTTTTGCTTTTCTCTTCATTACTTTTCTGCACTTCACAAAAAAAGTGAGAATGACCGCCCCATCCCCGCCCCCCTCACACACAACCCACACTGAGTACAGTGGACAGCCCTGTCATCCCCAGTGTCTGCAGAGAGCCATCACCATGCCCCCAGTCACCCTGTGTGAGTCTGGGCCTCCACGGAGGCCACTCGCACTGCCGAGGGTCCACAGAGGAAAAGGCTATCTACACTTTGCCCTTGGCTTTCCTGGGCCCCAGAGGACCAAAGGGAATGTGGTGCAACCGTGTCCACAGCTCTGGAGGGAAATCCACGTCCTCTTTCCCAGGCGCCCTCAATGCCTACCTCTCCCGTCTCCTCTAGATAGTGCCCGGGGTGGGCGGGCCACAGGGGACCAGGTGGGGGAAGTTTTGTGAGTTTGGGCCTGGTGAGGCTTGATTGCTTGGTTTGATTACAATTGCCAACAACGCCGGTATGTCACAAGCAGCGCGATCAATAATTGCTTAACGCTCTTTGACGTTTTCGAATGCTCGGTTTATTCTCAGCAAACACCCATCAAACAATCTAATCATCCTAAAATTAACTCAGATGATCAAGTATAAGAACATTACAGCAAATGTCAAGGTATAGGGCACCACAGTACACACATTATTATTCCAGCACCATAGTCCCAGGAAGCATTGCCTTCGTCGGGGTGCTCACCGCAGGTAGAGCTGGAGAGAGCAGGAGTTGATGTCTCCTTGGTTCCTAGCGCTCTGAAAAGTCAGAGTCTTATAGGCAGTTCAGCTGGCCGTTGGACGTCATTCTGGAAATTCCGTGACGTCCTGCCAAGTCTTATGCGGTCCCCCAGACTTTCCGAGATGGCTCTTTAGACCATCTGTGGGTTCTTGGCAGTGGCTCAACATTTAGGCTGGGCCTAAATATTTTATTGCCATTTCTTGTCCAAAATGGAGCTTCTTGTGTCCACGTCTTGCAAGGGAGTGTATGATGCTCTCGTGTGCCCCAGCCTGCCTGTGGGGATGGCGGAGGCGGGGCTGACACGTCTGAGTCCGTCCAGTGTCAGTCATTTGTCCAGACTGTGAACTTGTAGATCCCAAAAGAGAATGGCTCGCGCCCACACCCCCCACCCCACAGGATCCACCCTTCTAGCGAGAGGCCCCCATGGAGTGGAAAGACACCCAGCTAGGACTGACCACCCCCGCCCCTCCCCAACTTGCCCCAGTTCCTGAGGTTCCCCCTCCCCCGGGCTATCTCCATGTGGCCCTCTCTGTTTTCTCTAGATGGTGACCACAGAGAACATTCTCAGCTTTGTCCAAACGTGGATCACAAAAGTGAACCAGAGGATGCAGTACCTCAACTGCAGCCTGGAAGTGGTGACCGTGTCTCAAGTGGCCTTTACCGTAAGGGATGGGAAGGGGCAAGGGAGAGGGGGACTTGGGCTGAGGAGACCTGCAGAGCTCAAGGGGGCTTCAGGGGGGAGAGGGCCCCTGGGCCTGATGTCCAGCAGGGAGACCTCGGGATGCTCAGGCCCCGTGTCATGTCTGGACCTGTAACGAAATCCCAGCTGGGCCATTGTCGGCATTAGACTCGGCCACCGCTGCCTTTTCTCTGTCAGGACCCTCCACTCACCCACTGCCCTCACTCTCAGCCCAGACCCCTGTTTCTCCCCATCCCACCCAGGTGCAGCCCCTTGTCCCCCCAGCCCCTACTGCCCCATCTAATCTCTCCATTCCTGCCTCACCTGGCTGCCTGCGCCCTCCCTCCACTCTCCTCAGCCCCTCCCACCCCACCTGCCACCACGGGCTGTGTCTCCAGTTGCAGCCAGGCCTCAAATCAGAAAAGACCCCTCTGACCTCTGACCGGGCCACGCCTCTGCCCTCAGAGTCAAGTCCAAACCCTTCACCTGACAATTGAACAGGCTGTCTCCTCAAGACTGTGAACCCCAAGAGGGCAGAGCCTGCATTGTCCCCACTCCACACCCCAGCTCACCCCACCCCCAGCCCACAATTCCCAGGAGGTGCCCTATTGTTTCCCGGGGAGGGTCGGGAGTCAGTGGCATGCGTGCCGGGAATGCTCCTCACCGTGGGCTGGCCACCCTCCAGTCTGTGTCTGCACAGCCAAGCTCTGAAGCAGCCTCACTTCAGGGAGGTGCTTCCCACCCTGCCACCATCACAAGAAGCCCTTCCTGCTCCAGACTCCCAAGAGTCTGGGCCCTTCCCTCAGAAGGCTCCCAGTGCACCCCTGAAAGCTGGCACAGTAAAATGGGGAGCGTTGTAACGAGCCTCAAATTGTGGGCCACTAATGCAACGGTTTCTCATGAGAGGAGTTGGCCACGCCTTCTCTTAGCTCTTCAGACAAAGCCATTGTCCTGACGTGCCTGTGGGGTCCACCCCGAAGACCTGCAGCCTTCCACCTCACTTGAATCTGAAGAAGATGCTGGGCTTTCCCTTCATAGCCCTGTGCTAGTCTGGGTGGAGCAGAGAAACAATCCATGGACACTCATAGGTGTATAAGAAAGAGCTTTATACACAAGAGCAACTGTATTTTGAGAAAACATCCCAGCCCCATCCAGATCAAGTCCATAAGTCCGATATTATTCCATATATCCGATATCAATCTAAAAATTCCTCTTCAGACTTAAAAAACACAGGCAATGATGCCAAATTCTGGAAGATCACAGGCCAGTGGGTGGAAAGTCTTGTGGATCCAGTGGCAGTGGAAGCATCTCAGCGCTGGCAGGGTCTCCATGTGGCTCCTCCAGCTCCAGGGCTCTCGGGTAGCTCCGTGTGTCTTGTCAGCAATAAAAGGAAGCAGAGTCTCTCTGCATCTAGCCTCCAGTGAGGTAGTTATCTCCTTGGAGCCCCAACTAAGGCCATCAAGCCGGGACCTGATTGACAGGCTAGACCCCACCCCTTCCCAGGTTGACGGGAGAGTATGTAACTGCCACAGCACCCACCCCAGATTGACCCAACATTTGTTTTGCCTAAGTTCATGCTAAGTACCGCTGCTCCCTCGAGACCCAGGACAGTCAGGAAGTACTTTTGCAGCCACTTAGGCTAACATGTACACGTGAAGGGGCAGCCCTCTAAGGGAGAGATGGCCGCCACTGCTTTATAGACGGGAAAAGGAGGCACAGAGGGGAGTGGGGAGGGAAGACGCTTGCCTCCAGCCACAGCCCCTGTGTGTGTTGGGTGTGGAAAGTGGAGCCAGGCCTGCTTGCCTCCCCATGGCCAGGACTGGTCCTCACAGATTCTACCTCTCCCCTGGGGCCCGCAGGACAACATCATTGCCGTTGACTCAGAGATGGACAGTGACCTCCTGGTGGCATCGGATATCCTTGAAGACGAGACCAGGATGGACATCGTCTCCCCAGAGTCCTTTGCCCAGCCGATCCGCCTGGGGAAGTCCATGATCGAGGACCCAGTGGTGGAGGTGATCAAGAGGATCCTGCAGTACGTGGTCCTGGGGGTGGGTGGGGCCGCAGCACAGTAGGGGACCCACGGTGCAGCCTGAGCCTTCGGGGTCCCACCCACCGGGGTTTCCCTCTGAGCTCTACCCTGACAGCCTGGCACCTCCCAACAACCACACACATCCTGATGAGCCAAAAGCACTCTCAGCCTTTGTCTGTGGGGCAGGGTCCTCCACTCCCTCCCGAGGATGGACTCAAGAAAAGGCTGGCGCCGCTGTCCACTGCCCGAGCCGGAGCTGTCCTGGCGGTCACCTTGGAAATGTCCACGTCCTTCCCTTTGCTTTCAGGGTTCCCAGCACCAGATGCTCCAGCCACTCACACGAGAAGGCCCAGATGCAGATGGGTAAAGGTTCACAGCCTGGTTGGTCTCTGGGCGTGCCCCCGGGGGTTGAGGGTGGGGTGATGACTCGGGCAGGGCCAGCCTCACCTCCTGTCCTCTGCTCTTGTCCTGGGCACTCATCGCCCAAAGGCTTCAAGAAACCTGTGCGTCGGGGGGAGAGCCCCAAGAAGGCCGTGTCCGTTGGCAGTGCCACCTCGATTGGGAGGTAGGGACCCTGGGCCAGGACCTCCCTTTCTCCACCCCTCACCCTGCCTCCCTGCGGAGGGCAAAGAGGACCTCATTGCTCGGCCACCCTCGGTCATCAGGATGCAGCCGCACCCCCGCTCGGGCTCCAAGACTCTGGGTTTGAGCATGTTCCCGCCCGGAGAGGTCTCTCATTTGGAAAGCACGTTGGGGGGTGGGGGTGGGGGCTGGTTATCAGCAGTGAGCAGGCTCTGAAAAAAAAAAAAAGAACATCATGCTTGGTCCAGCCAGAGGGTCAGTGAAAAAGAGGGAGCCCCCCCCCCCCCGCCCCACGTGAGCTCGATTGACACTGAGGCTGCTCCCAGGGGCTCAAGCGTGACCAGGGTTGTAAGGCTTGCGGGGACTACACAGTGTTTCGTTCTGTCAGAAGGATGGATGGACAGCCAGACGGCTGTTGTGAGTCATAGCCAAGTCGACAGGCACCTAGCCACAACCAACACACCTAGGTGGACCCTGCCGCGACCACGGATTTGATTCCGACTCATAATGCCCCCCCTGCTGGCCAGAGTAGAACTGCCCCCATGGGTTTCCGAGGTGGTACATCTTTACCGATGGGGTCCACCTGCTGGCTTTGCAGTGAGCAGCCCCAGGGGGTAACCCGGCATCGTGCTCAGCATGGTTGAGTGTGTGCTTTTTGTGCACAAAGCCTTGAGAGAAACCCCTGCTTGTTTACAAAAGGCCAGGGGTGCCCGATACAGCAGAGGCTTTCTCCCAGTCATTTGCAGCCAGGAGTGCAGAGCCTGGGGTTTCCAAGGCTGGGACCTGCCAGAGTAGCTGGCGAGGCTCATCTGAGACGCCTCCACCTTTCAGCTAGTGATTGAGAGCTTTTACCACCCAACGACTCCTGGTTATGCTCAGCATACAAGAGTCACTTATCGGAGGTTCACACCCAACTACACTCCCTGCCACCCAGGTCGGTGCCGACTCACAGCGAGCCGGCAGGACAGAGTAGAACTGTCCCTGTGGGCTTCTGAGACTGGAACTCTTTACGGGAGTAGAAAGCTTCTGGTGTCTTTGAACTGCTGACCTTGAGGTTCACAGCCCAGTGACCACAATGCTACCAGGGCTCCTGACATTCAACTCGGCATTCCACTTCCCATGGGCTGAGCCTCCTGGTCGCACAGCCTGCTTTCCGGGCAGAGCTCCTGGGCCTCTCTCTCTACTGCCTCCCTGCACCCTCTGCATGCAGACCGGCCTAGGGTTCCTTACCAACCAGGAGGTCTTCGGAGCCTGCAGAGGGGAGCAGCGATGTCTGAGAGGACTCTGCCACAGGAGGGACCCAGGGCTCCCATGGGCTCAGTCTTCAGGGCCTCTCCCCTGTCCCACAGCATCAGCCGGTACTCCAAGCACACCCGAGTAGAAAGGAAGTACCAGGTCTTTGGGGAGAAGCCGCCCTCGTTGTCTGAGTAAGTATCTCTGGTCGCTCTCCTGGAATCTGTTGATTTACCCCACGGGGCACTCAAATCAGCCTCAATGGAGGGGGGAACTCAGAAGGTGGGGTGTGTGTGTGTGTGTGTGTGTGTGTGTGCAGAAGCCGGGAGAGGGGGAGGGCGGGGGCAGGGCAGACAGTGCAGTGTCTCAGACCCTTGAACTTAAATGGGTTGAATGTCAGCTGCATTCATCACGGGCTCACATTTTCTCAGCAAAGCTTTTCATAGGTGGCCAGAGGGCAGTACATCTCTTTGAGGTATGTCTGGTTTGTTCTCCTCAGTCACCCCTCCCTCATACACACGCGCGTATACTTCTTTTTTTTAAATTTAAATTTCAGTGATTAAAACGATCTGGGTCACTTAGTATGGCTTGCTGCCAAGTAAACGAGCAGAATTTCAAAATCAGACAAGAAAAGCACAGAGAAACTACGGAGACCTACAATGAGGGCCCCCCACCTCCTGCCCTCGCCCCCACCCAGTGAAGGGAACTCACAGTCCCTGTGGCGCTGTCAGGTGAGCATCAACTGCTCACCCCAAGGCTGGTGGTTCAAACCCGCCCGCTGCTCCGTGGGAGAAAGATGAGGCTGTGTATTCTTGTAGAAGTTGATAGCCTTAGGGCTTCTATGTGGAGTTGCTGTGAGCCAGCACACACTCAGTGGCCCTGGATTTAGTTTTAAGGAACCCTGATGCTACAGCAGGTTATGCATTGGGCTGCTAACCTCAAGGTCAGTAGTTCGTATCCGCTGGCCACTCCACGGGACACAGATGAGGCTTCAGTCCTAGCCTCGGAAACCCACAGGGGCAGTTCTCCTGTGTCTGGGGAGTCACTTTGAGTCTGTTGACTCAGCGGCAGTAAGGGTTGTTATTGTTGGTGTTTACAGTCACAGTGCCCCTTGTCTGTCAGCCCTTTCAGCCCTGGGCTTCCCTGTGAGGTCCCGGGAGCCGGGCACAGGCCAGTGCCGGTTACCGAGAGGGCAACCTGTCTACAAAATACCAACCACGAGGGTCTCTGAAGCTAAATCAGATCTTCTGCCATTTGTTTTTCTCCCTGGTCTCTCAGTGCATTTCTGATTCGCCCAAATGACAGTAAATACATTGTCACATAAGATCACGTAACTGGTCAGTGTAGATTTTAGAAATGTGGCCGATAGCCATGAGTCTGTACCTGGGTCGGGCACTGGTCCCTGCAGGGCGCTCCTCATTAAGGAGCAAGCCCACCTGGCTAGACCAGAGGATGTACACTGGTGCAGATAGGAACCGGAAACACAGGGAATCCAGGGCGGATGATCCCTTCAGGACCAGTGGTGAGAGTGGTGATACCGGGAGCATAGAGGGAGGGTGGGTTGGAAAGGGGGAACCGATTACAAGGATCTACATGTGACCTCCTCCCTGGGGGACGGACAACAGAAAAGTGGGTGAAGGGAGACGTCGGACAGGGCAAGATATAACAAAATAATAATTTCTAAATTATCAAGGGTTCATGAGGGAGGGGGGAGAGGGGAGGGAGGGGAAAAAATGAGGACCTGATGCCGGGGGCTTAAGTGGAGAGCAAATGTTTTGAGAATGATGAGGGCAATGAATGTACAAATGTGCTTTACACAATTGATGTATGTATGGATTGTGATGAGTTGTATGAGCCCCTAATAAAACGATTAAAAAATAAAATAAAAAGACTTAAAAACTGAGGGAGAAAAAAGAAAGCCCACCGCCTTCCAGTCAGTTCCTGATAGAGGTTTTCGAGGACTCTGCATCCAAGTGAGGCCAGGTAGCCTCATCTTTCTCCCGCAGGGCAGCTGCACGGTCAGCACCCGAGTGGCCCAAACCTAGGCCCTAGATCCTCTCATTTCTCTTACTTTTCAGCCATTTGACTCCGTAGACCAGAACCTCCACTGGCTTGGTGCCTGAGACAAGGTTTCCAGAGGAAGGATGTTTGAGCCTCTGTGAGATCCTGTTTGTTGGATTAAAATTTGTGTGACACATTTGTTCTTCTTTCTGTAGCCCCTGAGCTCCTGGCAGGGGCTGGCGCTGGGTTGGGGTGTCCGTGTGAGCTTTACAGACTGCGGGGCAATTTCTCAGTGCCCACATAGCCCCCGTTCTTCCCTGGGGATGCTGTGGGGCAGAGGTATACTCTGAGAACATCATAAGTAGGAGAGCAGCCAATGGCACTGCCAGGGCTTGAGAAAGAACAGCGGGGATCCAAGGACAAGTGTTCACAGAGGAGGGGCTTGCCCGTGCCAAGGTCCTGGGCCAGAAGCGAGTGATGCTTGGGAGGACTGATGTTGAGCTGCTGAGGACCGCAAGACCAAAGGGAAGCTCAAATAGAGCAGAGACACTTGGAAGGGCTCACACCCAGCTTGTTATAAACGTCAGAGATGTTAAATTTGACAAATAGAAACGTTAGGTACAGAAGTCCTTGCGCATCAGACGAAGTGCCCAACTCTGATTCTTACCAGACAGCTGGGTGCCTGCACGGGACCACGGGCCTCATTTGGTTTTGTCCGTGTCGATGTGCCCAGACCCCTTGGGTCTCCCTTGTGTTACAGGCATTTTAAAGGCATCATCCTGGCCCTCCTCTGGGACAGCAACGAGCTGCTGCTGTCCGTCATCGAGGTGAGGACGACTGCCCAGTCCCCTGCCCACTGCTAGCCTCGTGTCCCCAGCTGCCCCTCCCTCCTGCAGCAGGAAAATGAGAACGGAGATTCCAGCACCTGTCATCCTGTGTCATGTTTCCCTCCAGGCAGGCAGCAGGACACACTTCTAGGTCACCAACTGTATGTCAGATCCTGGGTGTGCCAAGAACAAGCCCAGCCTGGGGCCCCAAGGAGCCCTGTGCCCAGCTGGGAAGCAGACAGGCACAGTGGGGGCTCAGAGACACAGGCGGGTGGGCTATGGGAGCTGACTTCCGGGAAGATGAGCACAGAGATTGAAGGTTAGTGAGCAGGCTGGCTCATAGCCAGTGAGAGGAGCAGACTCCCCAGGTGAGGGTCCAGCCTTCTCTTGCAGGAATTTTTCCGGAAAGAGAGGCGCCCCATCACCAGGCCTGACTGCATGTTTGAAACCTTGGACCAGTGCTCAGAGAGCACCTGCAAGAAGATGCTGGAGTACCAGAGCCAGACGGACGAGTACCACAACTCCTGCCTCATCGGTGGGTTCTGAAGGCAGGCCAGGTACCATGCACCTGAGGTCCAGACTGAGCTAGACCAGGGCTGGAAGTCACAGAGAGCCTTCCCTATGAAAAGCTGAAATCTTGGAACGGCAAAACATCTTTGGTTAGATTTAATGGGGGTGTGGGGTCGGAGGCGGAAGATGACAAAAGCCAAACCAAAAACCGTATGTCCACTTTTCTTGAGGAATGTGGTGATTGGTACCACTAACAATCAGTTGTTCCTACTGTAGGTATGCGTTAACTACCTCCTGGCCTGTGCTGGACTGGGCTAAAGATGGCGGATACAAACAGGGAATCAGGACAAGAAAGCAGACATTGAACTGTGTGTGTGCGCATGTGTGTGTGCCCGCATGCCAGTGCGTACACAAACTTTATTGTGAATTAGGTGAAGGCTTATAGAGCAGAGCATCGGTTTAGCATTCCACAGTCCGTACACACATTGATTCAACTCATCCACTGCCATCTCCTCAATGTCCCATTGCCCCTCCCACTTCCTCCCTGGGTTGTAGGTTCCTACGCCTCCTCCTCTCCCAAGCCTCTGAACTTTGTCCTTAGGCACTGGCTGCCCCTCTGATCTCAAATGATTGATTATTCTAACTGGCTTGGAGGTGAGGACCCCAGTCCTGGGGGCTCTACCAGGCTTTATCCGACCGGGGAGCCTGGTCTCTTTTATCATGTTGGGTTCTAGTCCACATTTTGCTCCCCCTCTTTGCAGGACCAGCTCCTAGGATTCCTTTCAGTGCAGGTGGTGGTGGGCACCAAGTGCCGCCTTGTTCTTCTGGTCTCCGAGTTGCAGAGACTGGTGTTTGCACAGCCCATTAATCCCCTGGACGAATTCTTTCCATATGTCTTCCGGTCTCCACCACAATTCTTCCCTCAGGACCGGGAGGCCAACAATTGCAGCTACAGTGGCTGCTCACAAGCTCCTAAGACCTTAGTCGGCATTCAGCAAGGATCTAGAACCATGTGCTCTGTGACTCAGTTGGCCTTTGTGTCTCCCACGTCCACGGCCCTAAGGCCCCCAGGCCCAGGGACTCATTCCATCAAGGTGTTTGGTTATGTCCAAGAAGTTTTCACGACTTTGCCTTCTGCGTGCTCCCTGTACAGGAATATTTGCAGCCAAGGCAACTGAATGTACACATACGCATGTCCTCTGCCAAGCCTGTGTATGTCTGTGGGCATATTCCCACCCACCCACCCCCCGCCGTGTCCATGAGTGCACCTCACAGATCACCACTCCCGCGGGGCTGTGCTGCCAACAGTGTCTGCCTCAATTGCTTGTAACTCTCCCAGTGTCTGCCCCCTGCTCCTGAAGTTTCTCCCAATCTCCTCCTTACTGTTTATTGATTACCTTTCCCTTCACTCAAGTTAGCAATGTCTACCCTCTAGCTAGGGGCTTCCTCTCCCTCCCCTCTCCTCCAAACCATCAAAGAATGTTTCATGTGAACAGCTGCGTGTCTGTCTGCTGGTTACAACGGTGGTATTTCTATTGAAAGAGCTGTGAAGCCCACCCAGTCTGACGGCCGAGTTTGTTCTCCTGTATTGCTCCGCCAACTCTGTCCCCGGCCAGCCATGTTCTAGAGGGTGGCTGTGGCTCAGGATCGACTCGGTGGCACTGAGGGCGTGCGTGAGTGAGAGGTCCTCACGGGAGTCCCCTGAGTGGCACAGTTCACTCTCTGTGCTGCTGACCAAAGGCACATGGAGTGGGCCCGGAGGAACCTGCGAAGAAAGGCCTGGTGACCAACCTCCAAAAACCCAGCCATCGAGAGAGTGCGGAGTGGCCCGGCTCTTCCACTCCGTCACTCGTGGGGTGGTAGAGACATGTGTAAATGCCCTCCGGAGAAACCCACCTTCACTCGGGCCTCCAAGGATTCACATGGATAAAATCCCAAGAACGAGGGGCCACAAGAAAAGCAAACACAAACACGAGAACTGAGAGGCCTCTTGAGCAGAACCAGACCCGCAAGGACTTCAGGTCTTGAGAGTGTCAGACCCAAAGGGCAACACACTGCCCTTCACACACTGACCTTCAGAGGGGGTTGAAAATATGAGCAGGGAGCAAGAGATGATGAAAATGACAAAGTGGGTCTGGAAAAAAGAGCCAACTGGAACCTGTGTCATGTTAAAAAAAAAAAAAGGAAAATGAGTAATAGACATTTGAAAAGATAAACGGGTTTTGTACCCAGTTGAAGGCAGAGCTGATAACTGGACGCGAAGTCTGGAGAAAAGGCCCAGAACAGCACAGAGAGAGGCAAAAGGGCGAAGGGAGGAGGGATGCGGATGAAAGAGGAAGGAGCCTTGGGAGAACAGCGGTGAAGGTGCTCCCTCGCTGCGAAATGCAAGATGGGTGGTTCAGACCACCCGGTGGGGAGAAGAGGTGGCATCGGCTTCCGTAAAGATTTCGAGGCTTGGGAAGCGAGGGGGTCCGTTCTACTCTGCCCTCCTGTGTCACACCGTGAGCTGGGATCCACTTGACGGCTGTTTCCCGTTTTAATGATTTCACTTATTCCGTTGTCACTCCACAGCAATTCTACTTGTTGTTGTTTTTTTAATGGTTATTTGCACAGAGAGAGGGACAGAGAGAGGAGACCACATTTAAAGAGACAACATGTAAAGCAATCTGTACAGAAGCAATATTTAAAGAACTGAGGTCGGGGCTGTCTGTTCTTGTCAGGACAAGCACTTGCAGACTGCTGAGAGACAGTCTGGTGTCCTTTAGAAGAACCGAGGAGCCCCGCAGAGTTTGGAAAGTAAAGTCCTTCGAACGTGATCTGTGCAGCGGTCCCTGTCCTGACTCGACCGACCGTGGGAACCCTCTCTGTTGGATTAGCTATTGCCACCCTGGGGGAGTGGGGGTGGCGTTCGGTGCCCTCCAGTCCGTCCGACTCAGTGACCCTGCCCATGTAGCACAGAACAGAACGCTGCTCAGCCCTGGGCCTTCCTCACAATTGTTATGTTTGAGGCCGTTGTTGCAGCCACTGTGGCAGTCCATCTTTTAAAAAAAATGCAATTATGGGGTTTATTAGGGAGGGTACCAGGTCAAAATGAATACGCAGTCAGAATATGCAGAGTCGGGCAGTCAGGATAATTTCTCTCCTGCTGCGCCTACAGGCAGCCCTCTCTCCGGCCCGCAGCCTCTTGGCCTGGCCACTGTGCTGCCCGGCAGGGTTAGGAAGCTCCCAGGCTGTCATTAGGTGTCAGTCCACCCTGCCTCGGGTCTCCCACCATGCTGTAGACACGGGCTGACCCTTCAGGAAAGTGTCTGGGGCCTCTGTTGGTGAGATGAGCTCAGCGACTTCGTCCCCTGCCTTCTCCCCTGTGCCCCCACCCCCGCTTCCTCCAGAACTGCGGGGTCAGCTCAAGAGATTTGAGGAGCTGCTGCCCCAGGTGTGTTGGCTGGTGACCGAGACTTTCCAGGAGCACTTTTGGAAAAAGTTTTCCACCTCCATCGATGAAACTTACGGGCAGTTCCAGGAGCAGCTGAAAAGGTTGCAGAAAGCAAAGGTGAGGACCCTCGCGACCAGGCATGTCCCGTCTGGGCCCACGGGTCTTGGGAGCTCAGAAATGGAAGCTGAGAAGGCGGTGGTATTGGATTGCTGGCTGTGGGCCGAGGGACTTGAGGCACTAGGGACGTGGGGGCTGAAGCTACATCTGCACATGCGGCTTCAGCAAATGGCTGATTGAGTGGGCGCCTCTGCTGGGATTGGTAGGCCATGGTCACTGAGATGAGCACTGGTTTTCCACACAAGTCCTTGGAGCCCCTGGGACATGGGACTGCTGAGCTTACTGGCACGAAACCCCGGTCGTGCTGGGCCAGACACCTTCCTTCCCCTCTCCCCTCTCCTCACCCGGGCTACTCCTCTGCCCACCCCAGACTCCTCCCACCAACCAGGTCAGAGGTCACGTCGTTCGGCTGTGGCCATAATTGGCAAAGGACATAGGTAGGTCTGTGAGTTTCTTTGGAGGCTCCTGGCCGGAAGCCCTGGTTGAGATACCCGCTGATTTCTGGGTGGTTTGATTGAAGGATGAAAACATGCAGAAGCTCCATCCAACCCTCGGGCACCCGGCAAAACTCCGAGAGATGGAGTCTCTGTGCCAACTGGAGGAGGAGAGGCAGGAAGAGGAGAGCAGCCTGCTCGGGACCAGCAGAGAGAAGCTGGAGGTCAGTGCGCGCGGGGCACGCTGCCGTCCAGGGACACCGCCACGCCCATCAGCAGCCCCCCGCGGTGCGGAGCAAGCCCTCTGCTGGGCAGCCCAGAGGGCCGCCTCGGTTGGGATGCAGGGTCACTGCGGGCCATGTTCACTGTCTTTCCTTGATTTCTAAATGTACCCACTACACAAGGGGGGACACGCTGGGTTGGTTTGTTTTTTAAGCACCATTTTTTAAGAGCAGTTTTACGTTCCCAAGAGGACCCTGTTCTCACCCCAGGATACATTATTTCTTTGCCTGCGACATATCCTCACGGTCCTCTTGACTGCTTCCGAGTCCTTCCTCTGGACCCTGAGTCATCTTGGCCGAGGGCCTGGCGCCAGATTCACGGGAACCCTGCCGACCCAATGGCTTTGGTCTCGTCTGGTCAGAGGGTTCCCCGAAACCTCCCTCCCCCGGAGAACAAGCCAGCCCCTTCCTCGGTCTGCCTTGAGGGCAGCTCCCTCCCTACAGCTCTGTGCCCACCACATTCCCTGTAGGAATTAGCCAACAAGTGTGGCCGCCTCTTCATCTCCAGCTTGGCCAGCTTCACGGAGAAGTTACTGCTGCAGTTGGATGAAGTGGTCACCATCGACGATATCCAGATACCCAGTAGGCGACTCAGCCATCCTCCGTGTGCTGGGGGGTTCTGCCTCTCCCCTGAAACTCCAAATGGGAGGGGGGTGGCAGGGGAGAGAACTGTCGTTACCCTAAAATTACAGCCAGGTAGAAGTCCCCTTGGCATAGTCAGAGGTCACCGGTTGGGCTGCCACCCAAAAGGTCAGCAGTTTGAAACCACCAACAGCTCCTCCGGAGAAAGAAGCAGCTTTCTACTCCCGTAAGAGTTACAGCCTCGGAAACCCACAGGGGTCCTATTGGGTCACTGGGACTCAGTTAGTGTGTTGTTAGAGGTCCCCCTTGGTTTGGGGCTGTCTGGGGGCAGCCACAAGCTACAGCCTGTCTCTTGCCTATCCAGAGATGGAGCCTCCCAAACAAAAAGCATCCATCCTCCTCCGCCGGAAGCTCGCTGGCCTCCCCCTGGAGATAGAGCGGGAGAAGCCCCTGATTGAACGGGGCAACAGGTGAGCGCAGAGGGTCCTAGGGGACAAATGCTGCACGTGGCTGTGGTTTGCTTCAGGGCACTGCCCGGTGGGGACTGGGGCTCTGCAGTCTGAGCTGATGGCCTGGGGAAGGTGTTGCAGTCTGAGCCTGTTTCCTCACCTATGAAGCGGGCATAGCGGCTGGCTGACAAGGTGTTGTAAAGGGCAAGTTCAGTGTGGTTGTACTTGGAGTGCCAGAGCTTAGCAGCTACAAGTTCACCGGATAAAGACCCAGCCAAGGAACTCACAGGAAAAGGAGGCCTCTCCCAGTGGGAGAGACAGGCTCAGGTCAGTCGTGGCAGAGCGAACCCCACTCGCTACTGGCCATGTGGTGGACGATGCCAGTGATGGTCACAACTCCCTTTTTGTGAGCTCCTCCTGCCAGCTGGGCACCGGGCACAACCACATCCCCGAGGAAGGTCCCCATTCTACAGATGAGGAAGCTCAGGCCCGGGGCATGGCTGACTACTCACCCCGAGGGGAACAGCTGAGACTGCGTGTGCAGTGAATGCCCAGCGGGTGTTTCCTTCCATCCAGATGTTTGAGCCCTGGCACCCAGGCGGGGCCACACCCAGGGGAGCTTTGCATGCCTGCTTGTTTACAGGAAGTGGCCGGGAATCAAACCCACTGAGTTCACCATCCAGAGCAAGATTCTTCTCCGGAAAACGGCACCCATAAACACCACCAAAGCCACCCTGGGCCACCTGGCGGCCGTGGAAGCTCGAGATGCCGTTTACCTGGTGAACAGAGAGGATGATAGGGCAGGGAGGTGGGGCTGGGGTGGGGCAGATGTCCCAGGGAGCCCTGCACAGCTCTGTTTGGCAGAGTTTGCCCCACGTCCAGCTGCCTTAGGAAGGAGGCAGAGAGCTCCCTGACGCTGGGCACCCCATCATTTGACTTGTGGGCAAGAGGTCCCATGCAGGTCAGCCTCCCTACCACCCCCATCCCTGCCAGAGTTACAGGACAGGGGAGGTTCACAGGTATAGGGAGATGAGCTTGGGGGGGTGTATGGCTCCCAGGCAGACACCGCGGGTTTAACAGCATGAGTGCCCATGCTGCGAGGACCCAGCTGAGAGACACTCCACCCTGAGTACAGGGTGAAGATTGGTTTTCCGGGGAAATAGTTGAGTCACAGGTAGTCAGATGTGCCAGGCAGGGTGAACAGAGTCGGGGAGGTATGGGCGCAGTGGGGAGAGTGGGTTTTCCTGTGGTGAGGGGGACAGGTGGCCGAAATAGTGACTGCTGGCAGGTATAAAGGTGCCAGCCCTTCCTGGGGGCCTGTAGTCTTGACATGGCACATGCTCTCTCCCTGAATCCTCGAAACAGCGTCTCAATTTTACCCCTTTGTCACTGGTGAGCAAGCTGAGGCTCAGCGACTCACTCCCTTTGAGGCCCTGATACATGAGGGGCAGAGCCAGGGTTTGAACCCAGTGCCTGGTGGACCCCTGTGGTGCCCCCCTGGCAAGCCAGCTGCACTCACATACTGCATGCGGGCCATCTCAGCCCTGCTTGTCTACAGACCATGGGGCCTGGGGCCCAGACAGAGACCTTGTCTGACCCTGGGACAGCCTGGACTCCCTGTGGGCCGCACCGAGCCCCAAAGTCCCCTTGGGGAGGGAGGGCTTCAGGCCTGGGCGGAGCATGCCTGGGGTCTCCAGGGAGGCCAGTAGTGCAGAGTCCATGGTCTGGCAGGCAGTTTCGTGCCTGGCTACAGACCAAGAGGTCACCCAAAGGTGCCTCGCAAGACCGGCCCTATCCACAGCCTTGGCAGCCCTGTGGGGTGTAAGCTCTCCTCTGCAGCCTCTGTTCTTCACCTAACAACTAGTCCACACCCCACCCCCACCCCCACCCCCACCCCAGGGCCTCAACTGCCCCGTCTGTAAAATGGGGACAGAGTGACCCCAGGTTGAGAGGATTCTGTGAGAAATGGCTCCACAGCGCTTCCCTGGGGCCTGGAGCTTCCTCCCCGCCTGCCAGCCACAGCCCTTCGCCAGGGCCCCTTCTCACGAGGCCCCCTCCCGCCACCTCACTTCCAGAAATACGTGGCCTCCTTTGAGGAGGAGACGAAGAGGATGCAGAGGGACTGCACGCTGCAGCTGAAGGAGGCCCAGTGCTGGAAGGACAACTGGAAGCGCTCGGTGTGCACCATCCAGAGCCTGTACCTGTGACGCCTCAGCCCCAAATAAAGACCCGCTTTGCCTGCACTCCCGCTTCCCGGCTGTCATCCGGGCGAGCCATCCCCCCCAGCGTCTAAGGCAGCCCAACTGTGGCACCAACGGGGGTCGCTGGCTGTGAAAGTCAGTCGCTGTTGATTGCGCCCCTTCACGGATCAGCTCCCCAGCCTCTGTGAGCTGGCGGACACCTCCTTGTTTCTGAGCCCTACCCCAGGGACTGGCGAGCTGCGTGAAAGACCACCATCAGGACCCTCCCCTGCCGCTCCTGTGACCTTTCCCCAGACACAGCCCTGCAGTCCCTGCCCTCTGCACCCCTGCCCAGGCCTGTGTGGCCCCACAGGCTGCACAGCTTTAGGATCAGCCCCTTTCTGCTGACTCACCTAGAGGCCTTTGTGGGCGGATTAGGGGCCTTTGCTGGGTCAGCATGGCCTGTGCTCTACCCCAGGCCGGCTTTCAGCAGGACCCGCACCAGCTCCTCCTCACGCGGCTCGGGTTTGTTCTGTTTCGTTTCCCCTTACTCAGAACAAATCCACCTGTCTAGAAACGTCTCTGCAGTGATTCATGAGGCAGTAGCAGGCAAGAGAGAGCTAGAAGGATGAGGGTGGTTATGATTGACACAGAGCAGGCCCGCCCACAACTTTTGGCAAAACTTCCTGTAAGGGAAAGTCCCAGAAGGCTGGCTCCCAGCCACAGATCGAGCTCCGTGCCCTGCGGGCATTTGGTCTCAAAAAGGAGTATTACTCGTAGTCATTGTGATTAAAATACACTCAGAGACGAGTCACATACACACGCACACTCGGTGTCTGAGGTCAGGGCCCAGCCAGGTGCTCCAGAAGCAGTCACTGCCCCTTGGGAACTTCGAGGAGTGGAGCACCCGTGCCTGGAGGGGGACTGAGCCTCGGTGGCTCATCCGCTGGCCCCTGGAGTGACAGGAAGGAGCAGCTGTGTGCGTGTGCCTGTTTGGGATGACAGAGAAGAATGTTGTGTCGAAAGCACTAGCATCTCTAAGCGAGGGCCACTGCAGGTTTTGTAGGGTGGTGTGATTACTTAGATAATAATCGTTCCTTAAATAATCACATCCCTGAGGCCAAACGGGTCGCTAGCTAGCCTAAAGCCTACAAAGAAGGGGCCACAGGGAAGCCAATGGAAATCGGTGAGAACAATGGCACATTGGGGACAATGCAACCAGTGTTCACACAGAACAATTGTTAATATGAACAGAGTTTTCTGTGTAAACTTGCATCAGAAGAATACCTTTTGTCCTGGTGACGGGTGAACCGGCATCTGTAGAACTGCCCCGTGGTGGCTGCAGAGGGTCTTAGAGAAGAGAGAGGAAGTGTGTCTTTCTTGGGCTGTACTTCACAGACTGACAAGTAGTATCCGGTGAGGAAAAACCCCAGGGAGCTACAGCTAAGTTATGGAGCCTAGTAGCGGCTCCCTCTCTTTCTGATCCCCCAACAATAGCACTGGCTGCTCCGTCTCACTGGCAGTGGTTTGAAGTTTACAGTCAACGTGGCTCTTTCCACACAGGCTCCCTGGGTGTGAACAAAAATAGTTCACAGTGGAAAGATCTCCATGTTTCTCAGTCCAGGACCGGCAAGCAATAAAGCCACCATTTCCCGGCTCCACAGCTACACCTTGATTCCAGGAGAATGTATGCCCCTCTGGAGAAGTCTCTGAACAGATGACCTGCCTCTGGCCAGGCAGAGCCCTGATGGATCTCCTGCCCAGCCACAAAAGCCACCTGAGCAGAGATCTTGGGCCACCCGGCCAAAGCCCGTTGGGTAGTACATCTGCCACTCCTGAGGGGGGCTCCTGGGCCCTGCCCTCTGGTCCAAGGATGCGCTTGGACTTTTGCTGAGGGACAGTGCCTTCCATGCTGAAAACGGCTCTTTGCCCTGAGGGGATATGCATCCTGCAAAGCTGAATTTGTGGAGTCTCAGTGATACCGAGGGCTAAACATTCGCCTACCATCGGAAAGGCTGGTAGTTCTAATCCACCCCGATTTGCCACAATACTTCCAGAGGGTCACGGACATTGAAACCCAGTGCACAGTTCTGCTCTGAAGCACCAGGTGGCCACGTGGCAGAATCGACTCCATAGCAACTGATTGGGTTTGGGTTTTAAGGCAGTATTTAACCCGGGTGCACAGTGGGGCCTTTGGGGACTCCGAACCCTTCTTAGAAATCATACTTCAAAGCGTGTGGGTCTGTTGCTTTCAGATCCCTCTCTTCCCTGCAACTGAGCAAGAAACGCTGTGCTTAAAGAATAACGGCTCACCTGTATCATCTCTACCGCCCCTGAAGTCTCTGGAATTGAATTCTATCTAGAACGTGGAGTGAATTCTTGAAACTAAAACCAAACAGGTATGTCAGCTACGCAGGAACTTCTGAGAAACCTGCTGATAGGCCTCGGCCAAAACTCTACCTGCAAAATGGACCAAAGAGCATGTATCACAGGCTAATCCACAGAAGAAAACATGCTCGGCACCACTCTACACAGGGGAAATGCACACTGAAAGCCCAACGTGATGTTCCTAGACATCTGCTGGAATGGTCAAACTGAAAAAGACTGGCAAGACCAAGTACGGGATGTAAGGCTGATCATGTGCCAGGATTCCTGGCAGCCACACTGCTGGGGCAGCTCCAAAAGGGTGCCAACACCCAAGAAACGTCTGGAGTTTCTTAAAAAGACACCCAGGAAACAGCAATTCTGCCAACTACTTATGAAAGGAAAAAGGATCACACAAAAATCTGTACAGACATACTTGTAGCACCTTTATTCATCCTAGCCCCCAACTGGAAGCAAAACATACGCATCAACTGGCGAATGGATAAATAAGCTGCAGCGTAGCCACACAATGGCATCTACTGAACAATAAAGAGAAATGGACTGCTGACCTACAGCCAGCATGGATGAATATCAAAACAATCACCCGGAGTGGGAGAAGTCAGTCCCCACCCCACGCAAAAGTGCAGTCTCAAAGTGGCATTCCATTTACATGTGAAACTGGAGGAGTGCTAACTATAGAGACAGAAAGCAGATGAGCAGTTCAGGGGATGGGGGACAGGGAGGGACAGGAGAGAGATTACAAGGGGGCTGAGGCAGTTTGGGGGTATAGAGATGCTCACTGTTTTGACTGCTGCGATGGGGGGTCACAGGTGCACACAGGTCAAAACCTCAAGTGGCTCACGTAACACCCGTGCAGTTTATTGTGTGTCACTTATATATCAATAGAGCTATAAAAAACCACAGTAGAAAACCAGTATTCAACCACAGACCCACAGGATATGCATATGGGAGGTAGTCCTTGATATTGGCTACAGGGTACAACCCCGGTGTGTAATAAGAAATAAGCAAATAACTAGGTATCCAGTAATTTTACAATGAATGAATGTAAGGCTGATCAGGTGCCAAGCCCCAGAACTAGGGGCAGGGACAAAACAAAGCTCCCTGTGCTCACAAGAGCTTTAGTTGGAGGAGGATGCTGTGCTTAGCTGGCTTTCCGAAGCAGATGGCCAGTTCTAGTCTCAGTGCAGGAGCCCCATTGAAACCTGTATACACACACACACACACACACACACACACACACACACACATTCTGGGGGCCAGATTCTACACTAGATCTCCCAGAAGGAAGGCAATAACTCTCACCACTGAACCACTACACCCACAGAGTCTATTCCAATAGACTGGCACTGCAGAATCTCTCCTTAGGATTCCCGTGAATGTAAACCTTCATGGGAGCAGAAAGCCCAGTGCGTATCCCACAGCATTACTACAAACAAAACAAACTCGCTGCTACCGAGTCCCTGCTGACTCAGCGAACACATAGGGCAGCATGAATCAGCCCCGGTGGGTTTCTGAGGCTGTAACTCATGTATCATCTTTCTCCCGAGAAACAGCGGGTGGTTTCAAACTACTAACCTTGTGGGGTGTGGCAGCTCAACATACAACTACCAGAGGATTTTTTTTTCTCTCACTGCCATCGAGTCAAGGTCGACTCATGGCCACCCTATAGCACAGGGTAGAACTGCCCCTTTGAGTTACCAAAACTGTAACCCTTTAGGGGAGTAGAAAACCTTGTCGCTCTCCATCAGAGCAGTGATGGTTTCGAACTGCTGACCTTGCGGATCCCAGCCCAACGTAAGGTAAAACAGGTGCTAAGGGAGGAAAAAATAGGAGCCCTGGTGGAGCAGTGGTTTACATCCTGGGCTGCTAACCTCAAGGTCAGCCGTTCACAACCAGCAGCCACTGATATACAAAGTTAGCAAATCCGAATCACACAGGGGCCGCTCCGCCCCATCCCCTAGTGTGACTGTGGGAAGACTCTGGCAGTGCGTTGGTTTTGGGGGGGCAGGGCAGGAGGGGGAAGTGGTCGGTGTCAGAATGGGGCCAGTGACATTGTAGGCTATACCAGCCACCCTTCTCTGAACAAGTCACTTCTGCGCTAAGACCAGCAGGAAGAGTGGAGAAGAAACAGTATCTTCCCCCGACGTTGAAGTCAAGAAAGAAAGAGGTCTGCGCGGGCGGGTGAACACGGGACGTGGTGGGAGCGCTGAGGCGGTGGCCACGCTCCCGGGTGGCTCCGGGCCCTCCCGACCCACCGGTACTTGCGTTGCCCACG